TTTGGGTGCCACTGCCTGGGGCCCTGCCCTCAGCCCCTGCCAGGCTCAGTGCTGGCAGCAGAGTCCAGCTCTGCCTGGGTCCCAGGCAGGCTCAGTGCTGGCAGCAGAGTCCAGCTCTGCCTGGGTCCCAGCCTGGGGGCACAGGGAACAGCCCTCTGTGCCTGACTGGAGTGACCGTGTCGCTTGTTTTTCTTCCAGGACTGATGGAGGCACCAGGCAGCGATGCCATCCTTCTGGATATATGTTTTAGAGTTTTATGTTAAGTTTTAATCTATAAATTCGTTTTAGAGTTTCTTATTCTCTTCTGTACATAAATTTCTTACATTGTTATATAGTTTTTTGTAATGTAAATGCTTTTTATAGGTTGTTGTTATAAAGATCCTTACATTGAAAATATATTATGTAGTTTGTTTTTGTTGCTCTTCTGTAACTAAACAATCTTTATTTTTCACACCCCAGCTCTATTTACATTTGCTTTGGGCACAGGAAACATTTGCAGGGTTGTGGGTGCCTGGGGCTGGAGGTCCCTGGGGCTGCTGGCATGGCCACGCTGGGGCAATTTGTGCACAGAAAGGTCCCATTGACAGGTCACACTCTCCTTGCAGTTGCTTTGGATGTGCATGGCAAACGTAGAGGCAAATCCCAGCGGGGATCCCATGGGGGAGCAGGGCTGAGCCTGTGTGGAATTGCAGAGCCTCATCCAGGGCTCTTCCCTGTGTGTCCCTGGTGCTACTGACGCTGTGCTGGGCTGCAGGCACCCCCTGCTCCTGGGCACCCTGAGGGGCAGGAGACAGCCTGGAGTGAGCCTCAGCACACGGATCTCTGGCTTTTGCAAGGTCTCCTGTCCATTCAGCCCCATGTATGTAGAGAATAAGCCTGCATTTGTTTTCTGTTTTAATTAATTTTGCTACTTTAGCTAAATGTAGTAATTAAAAAAAAAAAAAAAAAAGGAAAAAGAGCCATTTTCTAGAAGCTGATCCCATGACCCCAAGACCCACTTGGTAGGATGCTTGAGCAGAAAAAACCTAATAACATGTAAGAAAGGACTTGGATCCTGGCTCCCACTTCTATGCACATGGCTAGAGCAGACAAGAGGCAGCCTGGCTTAAGGCACTATTTACTATTGGTTTTTGTTAAAAACATGCTGTCGTGCAGGGTGGCTGTGGCAGGGGCGTGACTGTCCCCCTGCGAGCTCTGCAATTCCCAGTTATGGGCTGGTCCAGCACAGGGACAGATAACGACAACACGGGGCTTAGCGTGTTCCAGAACGGGTTTATTGGGTGGAGAAAATGGAGCCTCAAGACCAGCTTGGAAGGGCAAACAGAAGGTTTTATACAGAAACTCAGAAGCCGGGTGTAGGAACAATAACCAATGAGGGTAGAACTGGGGAAGAGTCTAAGGCAGGACTAACATATCATAAACTTATCAGGGGAAATAGGGGAGTGGAATAACACAAAGTAACAATTAGGGTGTAGAGTGTAACTAAATGGACAGGGAACACTCTGGAAGAAGGGGAGGGGACTAGAAGGAGTGACAGGGAATGTTTTAGGGAAAGGGGCAGGGAAAGGGAGGATTGACAATTTGGAGGGGAGAAGGTTAGGGAAGAGCTTGGGAAGATTGACAACTGGGGAGGGAAGGAGATTAGGGAAGAGAATGGGGGCAATCCTGAACTCTAAAACAAAACACACCACAACAACACTCAAAACCCCAGCATCTTCCATCGACCTTTACAAGCTGGTGGGCAGTTTCAGCTACCAAACTGCAGGTAGCTGGACTGTCTGGAACACTGGTCATACCAGAGGTAGTAATAGCTATGTCAGAGGTTCATCAATAAATACAACAGTGAACAACCAGAACCTTTTAAAAAGAGCCAGACTTTAGAGAAACTACAAACACCAGAAGAGACCCAACTTTCAGGAATTTGTGTTTAGCAACTGGAGTTTTTGTAGAGTCAGAGCTCCCTCTTACTCCCTTTGGCTTCCTGCTAAGGGGTGTCATGGCCTCTATTACAAGTGCAAAATACTCAAGCAGCAAACAGGGAGGACAAGGTGCACCTGGAGCATTTAGTCCTGGCAAAGAACATGCAGGACAGCTCTGGGTCAGCTCTCCACAAGGATGGGGTTAGGGCAAGCCATCCAAGTCAGCATCAGGCAATGGAGGTCTCCTGTAGGCAAAGTGGCTGTACTGTGGGGACACCAGAGCAGTGCTCCCCCTCTGTCCCACAGGAGGGAAGAAGACCTCCACCAGCTCCGACAGCTGCTCATACCTGTCGGGGTAAGAAAGAAGTTACATTGGGGTCATTGAATGTTTGTTTGATGCTTCTCTGCATCAAAGCCAGGTCGTCCCAAAGATGCAGAGGAAAGAACACTTTGCTTACGTTGACTTTTGGTTCTTTGAGAGCTCCTGGATCAGCTCTCCCTTGGGGTTTACAGTGAATATGTGGCTCTCTGGCAGCCCCACTTGCTTGTAAGTGTAGACATCCTGCCCAAGGAAGGCCAGCATGGCATGAGAGCTGCAGGAAGGCACCACCACCCAGCCTGAGCCCTCCCTGCACACTCGAAGACCACTCACATTGGGCCTGTTCCCAAAGCCCGCGTAGAAGGGACACTTTGTAGTAAACAATTTTTGGATGTCTGTCAGGCAGGTGACCTTGAACACCTCTGGCTTCTTCTCAATCACTTCCCTGCAGCACAAGAGACACGGTCACAGTGGCATCAGCTGGCCAGGACTGTGGGCACCAAACCTGTCTGGCGCTCAGGGAAGTGATTTGAAGGGTAAAAGGTTTTGTGCATCAGAAGCTTCACTGTGAAGCTCCAGCAAGGTCAGGCAGCTCCCCTGCTGCCTCCCATTAAAGTCATTGTGCACCAAGAAGGGTAGAGTATTTTAGGGCTGGGGCATCCCTCAGGGTCAAGCTGGGGAAGGGGGTGCTGTCCTCAGGGATATATGAAGTGCAGGAAAAGACAGTACCTGTGGAAGGCAGACCAGAGGCTACTGGGGGACAGCAGCATGGGGCCCATGGGGAGGCCACAGCCTTGCTCATTGACCCATTTGAGGTAGCCTTTGGTGATGTGGGCCATGCCAATAGCCCTGGCTGAGCAGTAGAGGAACTTATAGCCATTCCTAGAGAGAATACAGGGAGCCTCTGTTGAGTTGTGGCCTGGGCAAGGCATTCTCCTGCTCTGAGGAGGAAGAGGTAGCCAAGTACCTGGCCTAAGACCAGTAAGTAAGGTGGCTCCACAAAGAACATGAATCCCTTATCTGGAAACCCAGACTAAACCCAATCCCCACCTGCCTCACACTGGAAGCCCCTGCACCACCCTCCATGCTCGTCCCAACAGCCGCACACCCACCCAGCCCAGCAGCACGGCCCCCATTGCTGCTCAGCACCCTCACACAGCACTTTCATCCCACAGCACTTCCTGTCAATCGGGGAGGGCTGTACCCAGCCCTTGCAGACACCCGGGCGGGGGACAGCTCGGCAGAGGTGGTACCGGGTGGCCAGAGGCAGCAGAGATGCCAGTCGAGTCCCTGCAAGCCTCGGGAGTGCATCTCTCCCACATTCCTCCAGGGCCAGAACGAGCCATCCACAGGCCCACAGTGCCTCTCAGTGGCTACGGGAGTCAAGCACCAAGCTAGAGGCTCCGCAGGGACTCACTGCTGGTGTCACCCCTCGCAGGTGAGTCCCCTGGGTTGTAGGAAGCGATCGCTGGGTGCCCAGAGATACCAGCACCACAGTGTTGGAGACCCTCGTGCCACCTCTCCCAGGTATGACTTTAGGTGGTCTTGTCTCCTCTGCTGCTCAGCTATATCTTCCCAGCAAAGCCTCCACTGACACACACTCCTTCCAGGGAAGGTAATGCCAGCATCTGCTCCCACGGGACCCTCTGCTTTCACCCCTCAACATCACATAGGCAGTGCAGCCAGCATCAGCCACCACTGAGAGCAGGTAGTGCAGCTATCTGGGCCTGCATCAGTGAGTAAGAAGCCCTGACTCTGACTCAATCAGCTTCCCACTTCCCCTTGAACTCAGCTGATCCAATACCTACAGGTGGATTTTGTGGAAGAGTTTAACAATCCCACGGTGAGTCCAATCTTTACCCAGCTGTGGCAAGATATGTCCAAGAGTATCCGATCTCAAAGGAAAAGAGGCCAGGTTAGTGTCATCCAACGTGGCGAGTATCCACCCCCACCCCAGTCAGGTTTGTGCTCCCTTCTCCCTTCCTATGCAAGCCTTTAAAGGAGACTTTCCCCTAACAGGGGAAAACAAGGATTTTGGGGTGGGAGAAAGCCTTTTACTTGGTGATGGTGCCATCGATGTCTGAGATCACCACTTTTTCGTTCCAGTTCCACAGGTAGATGGTGGCCTCACAGCGGCACGTACCCTGGTACTGAGTCGTCACGCTGAATGCCACCTCGTTGGGGCCATCCTGCAGATTTAACCTTCCCTGGGGCAGAGTGGCATCAAAAGTGTTACACCAGCACCAATTCACACCCCTCCAAGGCTTGCCAGAGGCCAAACTGCCACCCAGCCAGGCCAGAGATCTCAAGACTCTACAGGGCGGTCAATAAGGGCAAAATATTTGGATGTCCTATGAAAACATGAGGTCAGGAGTAGAGAAATCCCTGTTTAAGGGTTGTCTCACCCCTACACACATGGACAGTGAAGATGGAGGAATAAATACATACAATTTGCTTAGAGGAGAGCCTCAGGGATTTCTTGAAGGTTGGCAGGGGATTGTGAGTGGCAGTTTCCACTGTGGATATGTCCCCAGGGTGCTGGGGCTCATTGTCACTGGGTGACTCCATTTCCTCCCACCTACACAAAAAAGGGAAGGGGTCAGCCAGAGTCCTAAATAAACTTTCTACCCTTTTTTATTAGGCAAACCTAAGAATAATTAGTCACATAGGAGAACAGGAGTATCCAGACTCCAGAAGATGGCCTGGGAGGAAGGCACTCGCCTCTGCTGAGCAGTGTCACACCACAGTGTCCCCACGCTGGCTTTCCTTGGCCTTGGCTGCTGCTGCAGGCAGGGAGCGGTGTGCTGGTTCTGGTTAATTTTCTTCAGTGACTGACATGTAGCTGTGTTCTGAATTTTCACAATATTATCAACACTGTGTTGAGCTGTGGGCTCAACACAGTGTTGATAACAGAGATGTTTCTATTATTGCTGAGCAGGGCTTGCACAGAGCTTAAGAGCAAGAGCAGGGGCTGCTTTGCTTTTCTTCCAGTTGAAACAGAAATGCCAAAAGAGGTATGGCTGCAGTCCCTGCCTTCACAGGGACACTCTGGTGGAAGGGGAAGCACAGCCTGGTGCTGTGGTGGGACAGAGAGACCAGCAAGCACATGTGGCGCCCAGGGACCTAGCATGATGGGCACATAGCAGGAGGTCTCACCACTACAAGGTCCACATTACTGCATTACCAGGTGCTGCTCTGCTGCTCAGGCATTAACAGACCAAAGGGGACAAATAGCAACCTTAAGAAGTCACCTTGTCAGGTCCTGGAGGTCCTCATAGTCAACCTCAGGCCATCCCTAGGACCCTGCTGCCACCCCTGCCAGCCAGCAGAATGATGCCTGTCCCCTGGGGACATGGTTGCTACACCCACTGCTGCAAACATACCCCCTCTGTTGGGAATTCTCTCCTCCTCCAGGACAACCAATACCTCCTCTCTTTCTTGGGCATCTTCTCCTTTACCAATTGGTCAATGATGTTCTGTGAACATGGCAGAACAGGTCAGTCCTCAGCCCAGACCCTGCTGAGAATTACAGCCAGTAAATGATGATACCACTGACCTCAGGAATGTTCCTCTGGAAAGCCTGCAGGGCCAGGACTATGGGACCAGCCACTGCCCAGTTGTAATACCTGCAAAAAGAGGGATGAGTACATGACCATCCTGCAGCATGGCCAGGTCCCACAACTACTTTGGTACAATCATGCTCTGGGATGGAGTCACATTCCTACAGGAAAGTTTCCACAGGGACAAAGGGGACATGCTGACCATTGTGGGATGAAGCAGCAGGAAGAGCAGGCCACTCACTTCTTGTTGACCATTATCACCAGGTTTGGGTCACTGATGAGCCTTGGATTCTCAGCAAACTGCTGGTAGGAAACCATGTGTTCCATGAACTTCTCTGGTGGGACAAAGGCTGTGTCATGCCATTGGAGGATAGAAAGCATTTCAGGGCTGCAGACTGCCCCTCTCCTCCTGCCTACCATGAGAGATTGGCCTGTTGCCCCTGAGGCCCCCACACAGTGACAGGGCAACTGTGGGCATCGAGTCAGAGTCCATGGGGCTGTTGGCAGGCAAGGTGGATGGCAGCTGGATACACACAGGGTTGTTGGGGTCTGTCACAGGCCTCAAACTCTGCTCTGTGTCACTGTCAGCAAGGGAAGAAATGGTGGTGACACCAGAGAATAGCTTTAAACATACCTCCATCCTTTGTGCCAGGGGAATTGCTCAAAAATGTCTGAGCTTGGCCACCTGGGGCAACTCATACCTCCTGGCCAAATAGAGAGCCACTGGCTTCTTGTCCAGCTCAGAGAAGTCTTCCAGGTTAATGGTACTGGGATCCAAGTGAGGACTTCTTTTGATGGATCCTCAATGCAGAGACAGAAGAGAGAGAGCTTAGCTGAATCTCCTTTACAATCACCCCAGCATCTACTGAGAAAGCCAAAAGCATTTTCCTTATATCCATGAACCATATAAACAGGGCAGACATTTTCCTACTGGAAAAGCTGCAGTAAGTCAACAGCAACAGAAGTGCCTCAAGACACCTGCACAAACATGATCCCTAAATACACTGTGAAGGAGGGCACATTAAATGCTTCTCTGCTATTTTCCCTGACTTAGCAAAGTCAGGATGAAGACAGAAGTCAAGCCAGGAGTTACATTGAAGGGACAACCCAGGTGCTCATCTGAGTCAGACATATCTGCAGGCTTAAACACCACTTCAAGCAGCACCAGTCACCTTCTTACCTTGTCTTCTCTGCCTCTCCAGCTGGGACGTGGGGCTTTCTGAGCCCACCTGCCTTGGAGCAGTGGCTCCCTCAAAGGCCTCCACATCTGGCTGAACCTCTGGCACAACATTCACATCTCTCTTCTGTTTCTCTTGTGGGACTGAGTAGGCCCCCAAAAATCTCTTTGTCCTGACAGCATGGAGGATGTTCCTCAGCCTGGAGATGCTGTTCCCAGCCTGGGGTGCAAGTGTTGGCTCAGTTGCAGACACAGCTGAGGAATGGCCCTGAGATTCTGCTGGGCTTGAATCCCCTCCCAGATGTTCAGAGGTGGCAACAAGAGGGGTTGCCTCATCCACTGGGACCAGTGTTGCAGAGATGGTGGTTGCTGCAGCAGCAGTGATCTTTGTGGAATTGGTTGATTCAACTTGCACCAATTTATTCATCTCAAGGAAAGCAGAAGAACAGGTTTGAGGGTGGGAAGTTGCCCAAAGCATCACACAGAAAAGGACAACTTCCCTAAGGCTGTCTGGCCACAGCCTCCTCTGCTTTCTGCAGGTCTTTTGGACACTCATTCCCAGCAGAAGAGCAAGAGGAGGGACTTACCTGAGGAAGCCTTCCCCACATCCACTTCATGTGGGATTCAGCTGCTAGAGAAAAACTTTCCCGTGGTTTGATCTCCAGTTCAGAATCACTTTTGGAAGAATACTGATGGCCCAACATGAAGCTGCAGGAAGAGAAGGTGATGTGAGGCCTCACGTACGCTGCAGCCCCATGCTGTCCTATCAGTGCAAGGACATTTAGGGCCAAGAACCCTGTAATGCTGGTTTCTCATAAAGTCACTTCTACCCTATAAGACTGTCACTCCTAAAGGACCAAGACCTATGGAAGCTGAGGCCCAAGGAAGCAAAGTGCCAGCAGCTGCCCAGAGTGGCTCATCAGCAGACAGCCCTGTGCACACAGGCTTCTCACACCTGTGACCATGTCCACAAGTGTTCTCTGTGATTTCTGAGCTTTCCTGCAGCCACATCATGTCAAGCTAGAAAAGCTCTCTTCTCCTGACACCTTCAAGTCACTTTTCTACATCTCTTTCCCTACCATGGTGTGTGTGCCCTACTTCCACCAGAGCTGAGCAGAACACCTTGGCTCTGCCCATTACCTGTCCACTTTGAGCACCACCCCATCGGAGCATGGGTATATCTCTTGGGGCTGCAACAACCCAGTTACTTCAACAAGATCAACAAGGGATAAATGTGCTGCACCACTGCAAAGGAGGAAAGAGAGGGAACTTGTGCTACTCTCAAGCAGCAGTCTCCTCTCCACAAAACTGGTAATACCCAGTTTCACCATTCCCCCTGGCTTTCTACTCCATGGGCCCCAGCTTGCAAATGCTTTCCTCCTATTTCAGTACTTCTGGGCATCACCAAATGAACCCACAGGCTTGACCTACTACATCACTCTGCCCAGACCTAGCAGCTCACCTTGGGGCTGGCAGCTCATTTTCGGTCTCATCACAGCTGTCAGAATCTGAGTCCAACACCTCTTTCTTCTTGGGCCTTCTCTTGTGTTGCCTCCTCTTGTGCAGGATCACTCCAATGCTCGAGGCCTCCTGCCCACAGGAGGGTTCAACAGCATCCTTTGGGCACCGCTTCTTGCAGATGGGGGATGTGCAGAGGAAAAAAGGGATGCTGCCGTGGAACAGGGATGGGACAGAGCCCATCAGCTCCCTCCAGCAGACTCCTTTTCAGCCTAGCACTCCTTGCTCTCTGTAGAGTATATTACAGAACTGCACAACCAACACCACAGAACCCTCAGCTCAGTGATTTTGTGGCCTGGCCTAAAAGGAAAGGATTTGTAGCTACAACATGTGAATAAAGGAATGTTAGGATGATCCAGCCACAAGCTAAAGACATCCTTAACATGGGCAAGGAGAGACAGGCAGAAGATGGCACCACAATACCAGAATTACCAAGGTTGCAGATGGGATTTGGCTCCAGTGCCCTTTCCTACTTCCAAACCCAGCCCAAACCAGCAGTGACCACAAGTATGCCTGAGAGAAGAGCTGCCAGGATTTCTGTAAGCCACAACTATCTCATCCCACTTCCCACTGGAGTGGGCAGCCTGCCACAGCATCTGTCTCATTCTCATCTCTGTCACAAGATCCTCTGAGAGGCCAAACTCCAAGATATCCACCTGTCTGGCCAGCAGCCATGCCCATTGGTGGAGGCCAGTCTGGGATGCAGATATTTGGTCTAATAGTCCCTCAGAGTGCAGCCACGTGGGTTGCAAGGTCCTTTGAGCAGGAACCTTTCCAGACACAGAAAACATCAGATGGGACAATGAAGTCACTCTGGGGAAGAGCAGCATTCCAAACCTGGTCATTCTAACTCAACACGGCACTTCCAGGGAGTCAACCATGACACAGACATTCAGCACCTCCTCATAACCAACCTCATGCTCCTCTAACTCCTCGACAAAGAAGGCTTCTCCATTGTTTCCCAGCTTCATGTGCAGATCCACAGGCTTTCCATTGATTTCAATGTCAACCTAGCAAGGGACAGAAGCAGCCTTTCCATCTGAACCCCTTCATCCACTGGAGCACAGGGGCACTTCCAGATGGAGAGGATGGGTTGAAGTTGCTCACAGGGCTGACAGCCACGCAGCCTTTGAGGCAAGGGACCTCTCCCAATTTTCCTGGAGAGCACATTCCTCCCTGGAAATGGAATTCCTCCCTGGGCTCCATTTGGGAGCTTCCCCTCAAAAACTTGGGAAGCACCCCTTTCAGTGGTCTCCCATTCCCCTCAAAGTCTTTCCATAACCTGTGGGTTATAGAAGATCCCGGGTCTAGAGACACTGGAAAGGAAGCGTGGCCCCAGGGCAGGCATCACTTACCACCTTCTCCTTGGAGCGCAGCACCCCCAGCTTCCCAAAGCGCACATGAAATGGGGAGCACTTGAAGGAGTTGTCGGGCTGCCTCACCACGACCACATCGATGCAGCCTGACAGGGTGGCGGGGTTCAGATCCTGGTACAGCTCCTTCACTGTGGCAAAGACACTCTCAGCCAGCTGCCCCACATAGTTCATGGTTTGAGACTGCAAGTGAGAGACATAAATAGACCCATGTAGGGGAAGAGAACTCCAGCAACTAAAGGCAATGTGAGTTAACTGTAGGAGAGTTATATCATGGCTGCAACACAGTCCCATCATGGGGACAGGTAAGCCTCTAGAGAAACTGAGGCAAATACCTGAGGGCTTTGATGAAGATCAGCTAGTGCCTCCAGAAACAGAAAACAGGACAGAAGCCAGAGCATGAGTTATTGCATCCAGCTTGGAGGAGAGATGCCCTTGCCATTGGGATACACCATCACATTTCCTCCTTGAGAGGGCAAATACAACCTCATAGCAGCACCACACAGTCAAGCTGTCAACATCCCATTCAAACAAGAATTGGGCTGGCAGGAGACATCCTGTCCTGCACTGTCCTTAGAAATTCCCAAACAACTCATGTCAGAGAGGTAGGAAGTCTGAGCTGCTCCATACACCACACACTCACTCCGAAAAAAGTCCAAACCTAACATTTCCCACTCAGAGGGAAAGGCATCCCACTTAGGCATTGCAGAATTGGCCAGATGTGGCTCCTCTACAAGCCAGAACTCCTGTGCTGGACAGCACGGGCAGGTGATGGTGTGGTGTTCCCAGAGAGTCGCAGCACAGCACCCAGTGCACACTCAACCCAAAGGGCAGCTGGGGGGAGTTGGTTCCTTACCCAAAGGGATGATGACAAGCATGTGCCACTCGACAAGCCCTCTGCTCCAGCAGGTATCCAGCCTCTCTGATCCGTTTTGCATAAGCTCAGCCCTGTCCCATTCCCAGACATCCCTCCTGGAAGGCAGTCTGAGTGGGCAGATGTGGTTCCCACTCAATGTCCCGTCCCTCACCTCTGCCTGGCAGCCAGGAGTAAGCCCAAATCCCAGATCCTCTCTGGAGGGTGATAGCAGGGAAATGCTAGCCAGCTCCCGAAGCTTCGGTGGCTCCATCAGCTCTGCTGTGGGCAGGGCTCGGATCATGGGGCCTCTCACCAACCTGCTGAGCCCAGCTTTTCCAGGCATTGCTGCTGGGGCAGGCAGCCCTCCAGCTGCTTTCCTGCCTTGCCAGAGGGCCTAGCAGCAAACGAGAGACAGCTCCTCTCTGCATATGGGGGCAGTTTTGGAGAGGAGGAATGATCAGACTGACCCTGATGCTCCCTGGGCAGCACTTACAAGCTTCCAGTTGAGACATACACTGACACAGACCTGGGAAGTGCATAGGGAAAGTCTTGGGCAGAGAAATCCCAAAGGATTTAGGGTGGGGGCTTGGAAATGATCCCCAGATATGATGCACTGAGCACCATCTTCATGAGCAGGGTGCAAGAGCTCAACACAACACTGCAGCCACACAGCAAAACAAGTGCCAGGGCCAGGTCCCCTCTGCAGAACCACTGTCCACCCTTGCCTCAATGGGTAGCTGCCCCCTCCCCAAGCTGCAGACTGCATGGTACAGTTTTCAGCTCAATGAATTTAATTCCCTATGGGCCTCACCTGGGAAGGCTTGAGGAGGGCAGGGAATGGAGAGAAAGAGACTTTTCCCTGCAGGCCTTGGCCCCACCATGGACGGAGCAGGCCTGTCAGGGAGGTGAAGGGTAGGTTATAGTCTGGAGAGACATTAATAGGCAGACATAGCAAAGGAAATGGACTTCAAGTAATATTTAATAAATAATCTCTCTAGAGGAATGGGGCATCTCCAGCGCTCAGCCCCCAAACCTGCCAGGATCCACCATGCAGCTCTTGTGGAGTATGAAGGGGACAGTCCTCCCCTGTCGACAGCTCACATCAACCTCCGGACCCAAAGAGCTGCCCAAATAAACCTGGTGCTTTGCTGACACCCGTGTGCTTTGCTCCTGGGACACCCTGCCAGTGGCACACCCTGCCCACATCCACAGACACATCCACAGACACATAAACACCCACATCCACATCCACAGCCACATCGATATCCACATCCACAGACACATCCACATCCATATCCACAGACACATACACACTGACATCCACATCCACAGCCACAGCCACAGCCACATCCACATCCATATCCACAGACACATACACACTGACATCCACATCCACAGCCACAGCCACAGCCACAGCCACATCCACATCCATATCCACAGACACATACACACCGACGTCCACATCCACACCCACACCAACATCCACATCCACATCCATATCCACATCCACACCCACACCGACATCCACATCCACATCCACACCAAGATCCACATCCACACCCACATCCACACCCACACCAACATCCACACCCACACCCACACCCACACCCACAGCGCACTCCCATCCATCGCACACTGCAAGCCAGCAGTGCCTTCCTCCCCCATTACCTGGGCAGGTGCTGGGCCTCAGCGGCTCCTCGGCTCCGGGCAGGGAGAGCCCGGGCTGCCCTGTGCAGGGCAGGGCACAGCGCTGCCGCTCGGCTCCCGTCCGCCGGCCGCCGGGGCGGGCCCAGCAGCCGCGGGCCGCGCAGCCCGAGGGCCCGGCGGGCCGGCGCTGCCGGGGCTGGCACCGGCCCGGGGCCATCCCGCGGCCCGTCCCGCGGCCCCTTTGCTCCAGCAGCCCCGGCACAGTGCCCCGTGCCCACGGACACCCTTCCTGCCCCAGCCCGCCGCCCCGCAAGGACACGCTGAAGCCACATCAAGGGTGGCCAAACCCCAGGGGCTCCTCTGCCCTGCGTTGTCTCCATGGGGATGGGAAAAGAGGGCACGCTGAAAGGAAAGCACGTCAAAGCAGACACTTTAAGAAAAATTGATGCTCTCCAGATCTCAGGGAGCCTGAGGGCAGTGGGGAAGTGATGTGGGAGTAGATGGGTGGGCTCAGGTGGGAAACTGAGGTGGTGGGGCTTTTTTGTGGCCCCCAAAAAGCGCATTGACGCCCACCATACTGTAACTACAGGGCAGAGATGTGTCTGGCGTGGGCTTTGTCCTGTATTTCCCTGACTTCTGTGCTGCAGCCTCTCTGCTGGGTTTTGGAGTGATGGGGATTGAGTGGTGGCACTTTAGGGATGGAGGTTGTCCAACACATCACTCATGGAGATGACATTGTGCTGTGAGGGCAGGGAAGCACCAAAGATTGAGGGTAGCTGCTTAGGACATCTTTAGACCCTGAGAAGAAGGATCCAAAGCTTGTTGGTCCCAGATGATGGGTTGATCGGCAGAAATGCCACAGCTCATTCCTAAGTAAGCCCTCTTAGCACCCAGTGCCTCACTTTCCTCATCCTTGCTGATGGCAACCAGAGGCACAAGTTGGAGACACAGTTCCCCTTCTGCCTGTCCAGTGCCAAGCATGGCCTGAGCACAAGTCCCAACATGGGAACTTTCCTGAAGGCTGTGACAAATCTGCTGAGGAATGAAGCTTATTTTCCAGCCGCTTAGTCTCCTGAGAGTTCTGCCCCTCGGTGAAATTGGACTGAAAGCAGCTATTGTGGATGGCCTGGCATGGCTGCAGTCCCTGGGGAGGGTGGGCTGGCACTGCAGGGCAGGCGGGTGACACTTCAGGTGATGTCCTTAGACTAGTGCTTGCTAATGCCACTGGAGTGGGTCTCACCCAGGACAGGGGTTTATATTCTGGAAGCCCTGAGGGTGTAACACAAACCCCAGGGCTGGAACACGAAAGCAAGGACAGATCTCACTGCAGATGTCTGGTAACTGGGGAGACTGCAAATACCTGGTAACTGATAAAAAATGCTGCAGAGGACATTCAGCAAAGGACATCTGAGCACAGGACACCATTTCTTCCTCAGCCAGCTGAGTGCATATGCAAATGAACACGGAGAAGGAACAAAATGCCAGCAGGAGCAAGCGGGCAGCTCAGCCTTGCTGTGGCTCCAAGCCCCCACCCTCTGCATACAAGGATGAGCTCCTGGCACTTGGGCACCCTGCAGAAGTACAGACCTCTTCGCTTACCTCCAAGGCTTCTTGCCCAGCTGGTTTTCCCCACCAATCTGTATTCCTGGTTCCTGACACACCAACCTTTGCTTGTGCCCCCATGCCCCTGCAGCAGATCCCCAGGTGTGCCATGGCTGTTCTGAGTGATGGCTGTTCCTCTTTGCATCCTTCCCTGCAATCCTGGCTTTTACTTCCCTCTCCTTTCTTTCTTTCTCCTCCAAAAAGCCTAGAACACTTTTAATTGACATGGTAATTTTTTTGCAAAGCTATAAAATCATCATTGGTTCCTGCCAGCTGCTTTTCATACTTCCTTTACTCCCCTTTTCTCTTTTTTGGAAGGTGAGTCTTGCATATCCATCCCTACTTGTGCTTGCAATCCTGCACCCCCCAATTACTCTGTGAATCTTGTACATCCTCCCCCAGGAGCTGCTCCATCAGGGAGAGGTTTCTTCCCTCTTTTGGGAACTCCACAACCCACAGATGTTTGCAATGAGCCTTTGCATAACAGATTTCTTTATTAGTCAACTGAGACGCAGTATTTTCAGCTCCTTGCATTCCATGTAGCTCACAGGCACATCCAACTTAGCAGCTTTTGTCCTGCATCCCAGCACTCCCCATCCTTTCTGGATGGCAGCCTTCATCCCTAAAGGAGCACCTCTGCCTTGTGAGTTCCCCATACCTCCACTGACTGTTGTGCTGAAAGCCCTACATCCTGAGATCCTGAGCTCCTCTAGGAAAACTCCATCCATCCATCCATCCATCCATCCATCCATCCATCCATCCATCCATCCATCCATCCACTTATCAGTTGGGAGCACCCACAAACTGCCCAGAAGCCTCCTAAATTTTCCTCTCTCCCAAAAAGCAATTTATGTCTTCAGTCACAGGGTTGGAGAGTGGACAAACTGTGTCAAAAAGATGGGCTTCTTCTTCCCCCTCTTCACATTTTGACAGCTGCTGCAGCCCAGCCAGGCTACAGCAAATTCTCCAACTGCCTCCAAGGTGGGAGTTCATGAGGGGTTTGCCTCCTCCTTTGACCAATACATTATTTCTCTGGGATTTTCTCAGCTGTTTGATTTAATATTTGAGC